AAAGGCATCAATTCTTCTTTGGTCTTCCTTATTCGTTGTCCAGCTTTCGCATGCGTATGAGGTGACTGAAAACACCATGGCTTGGGTCAGGCACACCTTAGTCTTCAAGGTGACATCTTTGCTTTTTAACACTTTAAAGAGGTCTTTTGGAGCAGATTTTCCCAATGCAATGTGTCATTTGATTTCTTGACTGCTGCTTCCATGGGTGTTGATTGTGGATCCAAGTAAAATGAAATCCTTGACAATTTCCATCATTTCTCTGTTTATCATGATGTTACTTATTGGTCCAGTTGTAAGGATATTGTTGAGGTATAATCCATACTGAAGGCTGTAATCTTTGATCTTCATCAGTAAGTGCTTCAAGTCCTCTTTACTTTCAGCAAGAAAGGTTGTGTCAGCTGCATAATGCAGGTTGTTTATGAGTCTTCCTCTAATCCTGATGCCGTGTTCTTCATCATGTAGTCCCTCTTCCCTGATTATTTGTTCAGTATACAGATTGAATAAGTATGGTGAGAGGATACAACCAGAACAAACAGAGCATACAAGCAGAGAATACCAGAAAGATTTTACCTGTGTTTTATTGACTATGCAAAGGCATTCGACTGTGTGGATCGTAACAAATTATGGATAATATTGCGAAGAATGGGAATTCCAGAACACTTAATTGTGCTCAGGCAAAACCTGTACGTAGACCAAGAGGCAGTTGTTGGAGCAGAACAAAGGGATACAGCATGGTTTAAAATCAGGAGAGATGTGCATCAGGTTGTACCCTTTCACCATACAACTATATGCATTTGTCAAATGTATTCTTCAAATGTCAGACTTGTAAATGAAAAAGGGAGGTGAATTTTGCTATTGGTACATAACGCCTTAATTAAAAAACTGAAAAATAACAATAATAAAAATGAAAACAAAGAATCAAAATATAAATAAGCCTTACCTGGCCTTTGACATGTGAAATAAACCCCAGAGGAATAAGGCATTCTGGCTCATGTGCTTGTCCTGCTTCATCCACAAATACATGTGTAAAATGTCCAACTCTAGAATCAAATATTATTTTACACTTTAATTTTGGAGGATACATTAAGTTGTAAAAATATTTTAGGCAATCACTGGCTTTTTAGACATTGGTTGCCCATTTTGAATTTTTCCCAAAAGAAGTAATGATCAACACTATAGGAAACATAATAGAGGCAGCAGAGTATATTGGTTAGTAACATGGACTTTTGGTGTGTCCTTGGGCAATAATAACAACCACCTGGACAGGTTTGTTCTTATAAGGAGTAAATGGTTCATATTATTAAAGAGCTCAGCACAGTACCTGGCCAATTGTCAGTGACATGTGTTTATTAAATAGAGATTCAAGGGGGAAAGGGATAAAATGAACAAATTATTGAATGTCTACTTTATGTAAGTCACAGTGCTACAAAATTCACATTCTATATCTTGCATTCATTAACTTATGTATAATTCCTAGTGATTAGGTAAACAGATGCTCTAGTCAAAATGCCTGGGTTTGAATCCTGGCTTCATTCACATATTAACAGTTTACTTAACCTCTTTGTGCCATGCTTTGCTCACTTGTAATTTGGGTGTATCAGCATGATCTCCTCCCTTATACAGTACGGGTGAGAATTAAATGAGTTAATAAACAGGTCACACTCAGAACAGGGCCTGACACATAGCAAGGGTTCAAAAAATGTTACGTGTTCTATTATTTTTGTTTTATTTTGATTAAGCCTTTAAGTAATACGATAAGGGATTACCTCATCTTCACAAATGTAGACAGAGGTACAGTGAAATTTAGTAACTTGAAAATGTTGTGATACAAAAATATTAATGCAGTTTTTGAGCATTTATGATGTATTAGGCACTGTGATAAGCATTTTTTATGCATTCTCATTTAATACCCACAAGGATCCCATGAGGTAGGTACCATATTACCCCATTCTAACATATGAGGAATCTGAGATCTGGAGCAGATACCTAACTCACCCAATATCACAAAGCTAGTAAGTGACAAGAGATAGACTGAATCTCAGGTCTATCTTCCTGTAGAGTCTGAGCTCTTCATCAGTAATTTTCTTTCTGCTCTGACTTCCCAAACTGGCTAGATTTCTTGAATTCTCTGACCCTCACTTTTCTCAGCTATGAAAAGAGAGACAACCACTGTCTTAGGTTTCTCAGGAGGTTTAAAGTACCTAAGAGTCCCTGTACATATAGTGCTCCAGAAATGAAAGTTGTTATTTTTGTTTTCCAATTAATTATAAATTGTACTGAGAGTTAGTCCATGTATTAAAAAGCATGCCTGGATCTGTAAGTCTCAAGCCATTGGCCACATAAAGGAGATCTACAGACCCCTCCTTATGAAAGATGAATATGTTGCACTCTTCCATTTTCAATATACTGTCAGGATGTGTGTCCTTTGGGTAGCCTCCACAGATCCGCAACATGCCTACAACATGCTGCTCTGTTGCGTGCCTACATCCTCCACATCACAAGGCAGTAGAGTCCCAGAGTCCACCACAGCACTAGGTGATAAGCTGTGAAACGAGATGCCTGGCTTTGCTGACAGTGACCTTAGGTAACCATGCTCATTTACTAACCCCGCTCACCTTACAATGTCCCCTCTTTCCATCCTTCAATCCGTTCAACTCCCTTACTCAAAAGCTCTTCAACAGACTCCCACTAAATTAGAGATGAAATCCAAACAATTTTTTCTGCAAGGCCCTATGTGACAAGCCCTTCCTTTCCAACATCGCGTCATGCTGTTGTTTTCCCTTGTTTACTCTGCTACAGCCACAATGCCTCCTTTGAGTAATTTAACATGCCAAGATACTTCCGACCTCAGGACCTTTGAACATGCTACTCCATCTGCCTGGGAATTTTTCTCTGACCTTCCTTATGTTGCGTTCATCTCCTCTTTCAGGTCTCAGCTCAGATGTCACTTCCTTTACAGAGAACAACCCTGACCATACTATACAAGTATTTTCCTATCCTCATCCCAGTTCCTTTTTACCACCTGACCTGGGCATATTATAGCAATTACACACTCTGTAATTACTTTGCTTGTTATTGTTAGCCTTCCCACAAGCATAAGCTTTCAGAGGACAGAGACCTTTAACTCAGTGGTTCATCACTGATTCCTAGTACCCCAAACAATATCTAGCCCACATTAGGTGCTTTACAAACATTTTAAATACCTTATTCCTAATTGGTAAAAAAGTCCTGCAGTGCTGCATGTTGTAAGTATTATCCTGAAGTGTGAGGCTTTCTGAAGATCGTCTCCATCTCTGCAATATGGTCTAACTACATCACTGATTGCCTGAGGGGAAAGTCAGTTATTTTTTCAAATTATTAAGCATGTATTTAAATGGGACAGAATCACACAGCTGCAAGAAATTCTAAAAATCTTATCCAGTTGCCACTCCTGTGATTTTTTTTCCCCTAGTAAGAATACGATCATGACATATGATCCTGCAGATCCCTCCCCAACACTCTCTTTTTCATTCATTTTCTAGATTCCTAACCTTTTTAGCAAAAAGTTAGGAATCTAGAAAATGAATTGTTTCATAAGAAAATAAAGAACTTATAATTTTTCTAAAGGGATACTTATAAGAAAATCAATAAAAAAATTAAAAAGAGACGATGTTTGGGAATAATATAGAAGAGGAGCATTTAGAAATCCATAAAACAAAGAATAATCATAGTATAATTGATAATTTATAGAAAACAACATGAAAATATAAGTAAACATTCAGAAATAAGATATTTAATAATAAGTTATGGCACAGATGAGCAAATTCTTGGTTAAGAACTCTCCTGCCCTCTTTCTCCCAACCAACACACTTTCATCTCATATCCCATGAGAGCACCCTGTTGAGGCCTTGCTGAGCACCCCAGTGCTCACCTCCTCACATCTGCAGTTGGCGTTCACTCTGACCATGACCCCAGGCTCCAGCACCCTGGTCTCGTGTAGCCTCAAACACAAGAGGTCTGTTGCACTGTTGGATGGTGCACAGATTAAAATCCGACTGTCGGGCAAAGCATTATGCACCTTTGTCAAAGACACAAAGAAGACAATTACTATATCATGGAAACATAAGTCTAATACCAAATTTGCATCATATTCATTTAGATGGATTCAGCCCAGTTTAGAGGATAGGGGATGGTTACAGCAAAGAGAACTGGATTTTATTTTTTGCTTCGTCACATCTTTTCAAACAGGCTTTGATGTAAATCACTTCTCTGAGATTCAGGCCAAATGTAAATGGAAATGATAGCTCTGCCTTACCAGAGATGCTAAAAGTTAAGAGAATCATGGGAAAGTTCTTTGAGCTATTCAGAATGATAAACTACCCTTCAAACACAGAAACTGTTTAATATTTCTGTGCACCCAGCTCACAGCACTGTAATAGTAAGTGCTCAATAAATGTTTGCAGATCTGAACCACTGAATGGTACCAAAACACTAAATATACACCATACTTAGCAACTTTATTTTAAATATAAAGGACATCAGAGACTTCTGCACAATGATAGCTTTCACTCCAGTATAGGTAATGTTATTCTGTAGCAAAGTTTCATGAAAAATAGACTTCTTTCTAAGTTCTAATAACTAAGCTTATTACATTATATTTATTCATACAAAACAAGCATAACTGAACAGTTTGGAATAACTGAGATTTCTTAAGCTCCTTACAACTTTGTGATTCTATAATATAAACTAATGAATTCTTGATGAATCAAACACAATAAATGAATAAGAGTACTGGAGTCCAGTTTATTAACCATTTAACAATAGTTAAGATAGTTACTTTCCACTTAATCTTATACTTTTAGAACTTCATTCTTAACTACACATTTAAAACTTCAGAAATGTATTATTTCTGATGTCTCATGGTATTCCAGCTATTATTACCTGTAAAGTTGCTTCTATTAATGTAAGTGTCTTTCCAGTTCCAGGAGGGCCAAAAAGGATATATGGGATTGGTCGACATTCACCATTCAGTATCCTTATAACTGCTAATTTCTGATTTTCATTCAGCAATGGATTGAAAAATTTCACACCTCTTATTTTAGAGGTTGGACTTCTACTTACTGCATTCAATGTGGAAACACAGTTTCAGTTGCAAATAAAAAAGTCTGAATATCAGTAGAAACTACTGTGATTTAAATAAGGTGTTAATAGCGCACACTGCTTTGAAGGTTAAAATAAAAGCAAATCATGCAGGAAAAATTCTTTAGTTTACTTCTCATAAAACAATACCAAACCAAAAAACCAAACCCGCTGGCTGTTGAGTCGATTCCGACTCACAGCGACCTACGGGACAGAGTAGAACTGTCTCATAGGGTTTCCAAGGAGCAGCTGGTGGATTTGAACTGCCGACCTTTTGGTTAGCAGCTGTAGCTCTTAAATTCTGCAACAGAACAAGGCAAACTCTTTAAGAAGCTATTTGAGTCATCATCAAGCATGGTTAGGAAAATTAACCTAGTTTTCAGAAAGGAGAAAAACTAGGTCATGCAGTCCATGTTGTTTTTAGCTGCTGTCGAGTTGGCCCCTGACTCATGGCGACCCCATGCGCAAGGGAATGAAATGCTGGTCCTGCATCATCCACATGACTGGCTGTGGATCAGATTGTTGTGATTCATAGGGTTTTCACTGGCTGATTTTTGGAAGTAGATTACTAGGCCTTTCCCCCTAGTCTGTCTTAGTCTGGAAGCGCCACTGAAACCTGTTCAGCAACACAGCAACACACAAGCTCCACTGACAGACAGGTGGTGGCTGTGCATGGGGTGCATTGGCCAGGAATTGAACCAGGGTCTCCAGCAATATCTCTGCCTAAATATCCATTGGCACGGAAAATATTAGTCATGGTTTTAAAATGTCTGTGAGAGATTAAAAGACCACATGGCAAGAACAATACATAATTGCAAATATTTAAAAAAAATATCTAACCTAAAATAGTTACTCTTTGCTAGTGTTCAGTAAAGATAAACTTTTCTCATTATGGATAATACAATTTTTACAGTCTAAAAAAATTTCCCAATCTTTTTTCTTTCTACCTAAGAGTATTTCTCCTGGCACCTAGTTTCTGGACAAAAATCACCTTAGCTGCTCTATTGTAAACCCTAATTTTCCAAACCCCTCACAAATATGCTCCCAGATTACTTGTCTCTTCAGCAAAGGTTACCATACCTGGCACATCCAAGGTTCTGACACTCCCGTGTTTTGTTTTGGCCATCATTGTTTCTCTAGTCTACAAAAAAACATGCAGAAAAAGGTGAAGAGAAAAAGTGCTGATAAAGAACATCTTTGTGTTCATACTGGCTTATTTTAGGGATGAATACATTTTGAATATTCTACTTATTATAATAATATCTCTTTCAATAGATCCACAGGACACTGCCTTTAATACATAATGCTAATACAGAAGAAAATTTGACAAAACATTGTTTAAAAGGTTTATGTTTCTTTTCTGGACTCCCTTTTTAAAATAAATACAAATACACTAAATTTTATAATGAAGAAACATTGGAACCAAAATAAAGAAGTACATTTTATATTAAATGCTTCCTCTTTACAAGGTTCGTAATCATGGTCAGTGCTGACAGTGCTTATCTATTTTAGGATAAGGACTGGAAGGAACAGACCGTTGATGTCACTCTCTCTGGTGAGTTTAGTACACCAAATTGAAACTGAAAATTTTCAATACCTTTACATTTACTTAATTTCTAATTAAGTAGTCTATTTTATTTTATGAGGGGTTGGGAACGGCAGAAATAGGCTATGTTATAAAGTATCCAGGGCCTAGACAGACATGGTGGCAGGCAGTTTGGAATACCAGCTGAAAGAAAGCAAGGCAAAAAATGTCATGCACAGAACTGAGAGCTCAAAGGGGAAGAGATACCATGTGACAGAGGTCAGGAAATTATCCTAAAAATGTTTCCCAGTCCCTGATGAGGCACATAGTATATCCCTCACTTATCTAGACCAAAGCACATTAAGTTGAGACCAACAAATATGAACACCTTGTAGGGACCAGACACAGCACTAGATATCGGGATTTGCTCTGATCACCTCCTATCCCTTTTAAGACCCTATTATTTTCTGCTTTGAATTTTTTTTTTGATAATATGTGTTTTCATTAATGGAAGCATGCTGAGTCATGGAGTGTGTTTAAATTTTTGGTTGGTAGTATGGATTTTGAGAAATATTATTTGGGAATACAGGGACCCACAAACCTCAGGAGGTTCTTAGGAGCCAGGATTAGTGAGTACCCATCTGTCCCATTGGTCACAGGTGGCAGGATTTATTGCCACCCACACACACACACCCACACACACAAACCAAACCCACCAGGGTTCTGTAACTATCACAAGGAAACTATAAATATGCTTACAAGGCTTATCTAGCTATATAAAAGCCAAAATAGACAAAATTTTTACCCAATCATACATCCTGGATGCACTACCTTACATTTAAGGGTGATACCCTAGCTATTTTGCTTCAGTGAGTGTTTCTTTCACCTTTCACCATTACACAAGTCCCCACTGGAGGGCAGAAAATACTTTTAGTGAGACAAGTAGACTCCCAAGAAACCTGAGAGCTAGAAAAAGTGGGTGGGATATGGTATGTCCCACGGGTCATGAAAGGGCTTTTCACCCAGGGGCAGATTAACCAGTAAGCAAAGTACATACAGGCTTAATTGTGTTTACTTACTAATCTGTAGCGTACAATTTCAACAGTTTTTTTAACACATGAAAGATGTGGTGAAACTCATGTGAAACTGTAAGTAAGTAAGTACAAGTAAGCCCCTGTGTACCTTGCTTATTGGGTAATCTGTCCCTCGATGAGGAGGGATTCCCTTTGTAAACAGTATGAGATGGCCAAACACATGACACTCAACACTGGACAGATGAGACTGGCAGCAGCTTTTTAGTCGCATATGGTCACAGCCCAGGAGAGGAAGACACCACCTGCCATACACTATACAGGGGTACACGGAGGTTGTACTCAGGAGCAGAGTGAACCAGCAGGGGCTGTGGGAAGCAGACTTTGTGGTATCTAGAGGGTAGGGTAACCCCTGGTTCCTGTGGAGGATGTGATTAGTTTAATAATTTCTTGGGCAGGCAGAAGGGTGAAACACATTAGGTTGAGGACTGGGTGGGGTGCAGCTGTTCTAGCTGATAAGGGAACTAGCCATTATGGGGAGACCCTTTCCTGCTAGGTGGTGGACATTTCTGGCAAGAGGAGGGGAACTTACAGATAGGCCTTTTTGGGGTCCTGTGAGGCTCAAAGAAGTCAAGGCAGCACTTGAAATTTTAGATCTTACAATACAAGGTTACGTGAATGAAAACAAAACAAAGCAAAAGCATAGCTGTGTGCCCTGTCCTGAAAGAAATGACATTCTAGCAGGCCTCAGCTGACTTAACCTATCCTAACATCTGATTTACTTAGTCATTCCCTCCTCTGAGAAACACTTCCTTCATTTGGCTTCCAGAACACCTGACTCTGCTTCCACTCAGTTTCCTTCTCTGGTTTCTCCTTTTCTCCCCAGTTTCAATGCTGGAGTGCCTAAGGGCTCAGTTCTTGAGTCTCTTTTTTTCCCTATATGCATTCACTTTCTAGGTGATCTCAACCAATCTCAGGGCTTTAAATATCACCAATATGCTGACGACTTCCGAATTTATAAATTTATACCTCCTTTCTCAATCTTTCACTTACATTACAGATGTGTATATCCACTGCAAATATCAGAAATATGATGACTTCCAAATTTATAAATTTATATCTCCTGTCTCATTCTTTTACTTAAATTACACACATATATATCCAACTGCTTACTTGACATCCCCACTTGATCTCTAAAATTAAATTCCTGATCTTCCCCATCCACCAGATTTGTTCCACTCATAGTCTTTCCCTTCTCAATGAATGCCAACAGCATTCTTCCAGTTGCTCTCATAAAATATCTGTGTCATTGTAGACTCCTCTCTTTCTCATACCCCACTCACATCCAATCCATCAGCAAATATATTTGAAAAAATATATTCTTCAAAATATACCCAGAATCTGACCACTTCTCACCACCTTTACTGGTAACAATACAGATAAAGCCAAAATCATATCTTCCATGGGCTTCTTGTGTTGTCCATTCAACCACTATTGTGCCTACAAAAATGACACGGGAGTTCAGTAGAGAAAAATGGGAATCAATGGGCCATTTCTTAACTCTCATATAAATAGGGTACGTGAGAATGAAATACCTTACACATGTGAGAGGATCACCCCAGAAAAGATTCATGTTTCTGCAATAGTTCTCTATCCTATATTGAACATGTCCATTGGAAACACCTGTGTGGCTTTAAACAGACCTATGCATACATCCCTCCACAGACCAATTAAATCAGAATCTCTGGAGGCCAACTTTCACAGAATGGTCTCCACAGCTCTTCTATAGTCTATTCTCATCACATTTGCCAGAGTGATCCTGTCAAAATTAAGTCAAGACTTCCACTCCCAGGTACAATGTACTACAGTGGTTCTCAAAACGTTAACATGAATAAGAATCAGCTGGAAGGGTTGTTACAACAGACTGCTAAGTACCATTTCCAAAGCTGTTTATTCAGTGGGTCTGGGAAGGGACCTGAAAATATGCATTTCTAACAAATTCCCATTTCCTTGGAAATCCTTGCTGATGGAAGATATTTTCTAGAGCCTCTATTGTTCTTTATAAAAAATTTCAGGTAAGCAATCATAAATTGCTAGATAGGTGAAAGGCAGAAAAATGTAATCAATAATAAAGAGAAAAAACAACAAAAGGAGCAGACCCACAGATGATTCAAATATTGAAGTTAGACAAAGACTTTAAAATAATTATAGTAACAGATTACAGAAATATAGTAAGACTGATAAATGGATAAGAGATGGACAATGTAAACAGAATTGGTATCTATAGAAAATTAAAAAATCCTGGACTTAAAAATCACAGTATCTATATTGAGAATTTAGAGATCGATTTAAGATCAGATTAGAAATAACAGGATGCATGATTAGTGATAAAAATGCAGGTATAAAAGCAATTCATTGGAGCCTTTTCAACAAATAGTACTGATGCACTAGAATAAACATAGGCAAAAAGGGATATTCACACCTTATACAAATATTAACTCAAAATGGATCTAGGACTTAAATGTACAGTGTAAAACTATGAAACTCTTGTTGTTGTTAGGTGCCGTTGAGTCGGTTCCAACTCATAGCGACCCTAGGTACAACAGAACGAAACACTGCCAGGTCCGGCGCCATCCTCACAATCGTTGTTATGCTTGGGCCTATTGTTGCAACCGCTATATCAGTCTATCTCATTGAGGGTCGTCCTCTTTTTCGCTGACCCTCTACTTTAGCAGGCATTATGTCCTTCTCTAGGGACTGGTCCCTCCTAATAACATGTCCAAAGTATGTGAGACATAATCTCGCCATTCTTGCTTCTAAGGAGCATTCTGGTTGTACTTTTTCCAAGACAGATTGGTTCGTTCTTTTGGCAGTCCATAGGATATTCAATATTCTTCACCAACAGCATTAATTCAAAGGCATCGATTCTTCTTCAGTCTTCCTTATTCACTGTCCAGCTTTCACATGCATATGAGGCAAGTGAAAACACCATGGCTTGGGTCAGGTGCACCTTAGTTTTCAAGGTGACATCTTTGCTTTTTAACACTTTAAAGAAGTCTTTTGCAGGAGATTCGCCCAATGCAATGTGTCTTTTGATTTCTTGACTGCTGCTTCCATGGGTGTTGAATGTGGAACCAAGTAAAATGAAAAATCCTTGAAAACTTCAATCTTTTCTTCGTTTACCATAGTGTTGCTTATTGGTCCAGTTGCGAGGATTTTTGTTTTCTCTATGTTGAGGTGTAATCCATACTGAAGGCTATAGTCTTTGATCTTCATCAGTAAGTGCTTCAAGTCCTCTTCACTTTCATTAAGCAAGGTTGTGTCATCTATATAACGCAGTTTGTTAATGAGCCTTCCTCCAATCCTGATGCCCCGTTCTTCTTCATATAGTCCAGCTAAATTCATCTTTGGGATCTGAGCTTAGCAAAGAGTTCTTAGACTTGACGCCAAAAGCACGATCCATAAAACAATTGATAAATTCTATGTCATCAAAACTAAAAAATTTTGCTTTGTGATGGTCCATGTGAAAAGGATGAAAACACAAGCTCCAGACTGGAAGAAAATATTTGCAAACCACATAGCTGACAAAGACTAGTATCCAAAAAAACCAGAACTAAGCTTGTTGCCTTCAAGTTGATTCCAATTCATGGTGACCCTATGTGTTACAGAGTACACTGCTCCACTGGGTTTTCTTGGCTGTAATCTTTATGGAAGCAGATCACCAGGCATTTGTTCCACAGTGCCTTTGGGTGGGTTTGAACCACCAACCTTAAGGTTAATAGTTGAGTGCAAACTGTTGGCACAACACCCAAACCCACTGTCGTCGAATCGATTCCTACTCATAGCAACCCTGTAGGACAAAGTAAAACTGCCCTATAGGGTTTCCAAGGCTGTAAATCTTTACAGAAGCAGACTGCCACATTTTTCTCCCGCAGAGTGGCTGGTGGGTTTGAACTGCTGACCTTTCGGTTAGCAGCTGAGTGCTTTAACCACTGTGCCACCAGGGCTCCTCTTGTACAAACCAGGGACCTTTATATATATATATAAACCTCAACAGCACAAAAAATAAACACTCCAATTAGAAAATAGGCCAAAAACTTGAGGAGACATTTTATCAAAGAGGATATACAGATGGCAAATAAGCACATGGAGAGATGCCCAATATCATTAGCCAATAGGTAAATGCAAATTAATGTGCTATCACCACACATCTATCAGAATGGCTAAAATAAAAAATTACCATACGACCCAGCAATTCCACTCCTAGGTATATACCCAAAAGACTTGAAAGCAGGGACTTAAAAAGATACTTGTACACCAATATTCATTGCAGCATTATTCACAATAGTCAAAAAGTGGAAACAAACAAGTGCCTATCAACAGATGAATATATAAACAAAACATAGTACGTAAAATATTATTCAGTCATAAAGAGAAATGAAGCTGTGATACATGCTACGACATAGATGAACCTTGAAAACGTTATGCTAAATGAAATAAGTCAGAAACAAAAGGACAAATACTGTATGATCCCACTTATATGAAATACCTAGTATAGGCAAATGGATAGAGACTAAAGTTTATCAGTGATTACCAGGGGCAGATCGGAGGGGGAATGGGGAGTTATTGCTTAAGGGATACTAAGTTTCTGTTAAAGTTCATGAAAAATTTGGAACTGGATAGTCACGATGGTTGCAGAATATGGTGAACGTAATTAATATCACTGAATTGTACAAGTAAAAATGGTTGATATGGCAAATGTTTTGTTATATATATTTTACAATAAAAATGTCACATACTGTGTGATTACGTTTATACAGCATTCTTGACATGACCATATTATACAGATACAGATTAGTGGTTTCCAGAGTTTAGGGATGGTGGGGCTAGGGGGGTGGGCATGATTGTAAAGGGGTAACACAATAGAGATCTTTATGGTGATGGACTAGGTCTGTATCTTGATTACAGAGGTGGTTACGTGAAACTACAAATGTGATGTAGAACTGTACATACACTTTATATTAGTGTTAATTTCCTAGGTTTTATATTGTACTATAGTCGTTGTTGGAGCCCTGGTGGTGCAGTGGTTAAGCATTCTACTGCTAACCAAAAGGCTGACAGTTCAAATCCACCAGCTGCTCCTTGGAAACCCTATAAGCAGTTCTACTCTGTCCTATAGGGTCACTATGAGTCAGAATCAACTTCACTGCAACGGGTTTGGTTTTAGTTTGGATTATAGTTATTGTTGATGTTAGGTGCCATTGATTTCTGACTCATAGTGACCCCATGTGACAGAGTAGAACTGCCCCATAGGATTTTCTAGGCTGCAGTTACATAAGGTATAATCAGTGGGATAAACTGGGTGAACGGTACATGGCCCTCTCTATCCTATGTCTGTAACTTCCTTTAAGTCTAGAATTATTTCAAAATAAAGTTGTTGTTTTTTTAAAATATAATATCCTACAGATTTGTAACTTGTTTTCTCAACATATTGTAGTCCTACTAGCACTGGTTAAATTTTGGGTAAATTTTACCTTAAATCTACTTTGTGGCATATTTGAATTGGTTTAAATTTAACTGTGGTTTGGGGTTATTTGTGACCTACCCTTCCCTAATACTCCAGGTAATTTGGGATCTATTGTATCTAAAATGATTTCACAATCATTATCTATTAAAATATATCAAAATTATTAAAATATTACCATAGCGAAAGACTGTTCATCATTCCAATTCTCTGAAACTTGGGGAGCCTTTAATATGAGAGTGTCTGGAAATAATACTTTAAAAAAGAGAAACGGTGAGAGGGTAGATATTACTGAAAATGATAAAAAAAGAATAAAGACAATCTCTAGTTTTATGACCATCCCACCAAAAGTCAAAGATATTCTACTCCCTCCCTTACTCCACCTTCTCTGCAATGTTTACAAATTATAACATGGACAAAAGCACTGTTTGTTCTTTATATCAAAGTCATTTACTTTTCTACTCATAAGCAAAAAATAAATAAGTAAACTAACACATTAAATTAAGAGGGGTGAAGCAAAGTGTAATCAATTTCTTTTCAGATATAGTGGAACACACTAAAGCCCCTCAATATAAAGTTCAAAACATGTGGACATCCTGTAGTTTTATTTCTAGTATATGATTCAAAAGACTGTATTTTACTTAACATGTCATATGAAGATCCTCTAAAATACTCTGAGAAAATGACAGTCAATGTACTTTCACAAAAATAATACCTTTTTCACCTAAATGTTTGGCTTCTTCAACTGCAAAGTGACATCGTCTGACTGAAGTCCTACCGAAAAGAAAACAATAGAAAATAACTCACTTTAATATTTTTAAAAAGTCAAGACTACAAAGGTCATAGGAATCTGAGTATATATCATTTAAGTTCCTAAAGGATCCTCTAGGATATCTGAAAGACTGAAGGATCATTTTTCTGTGTGTACATATGTAAATTCCTCTTATAAAAGTAGTATTCCAGGTATAAGTACAGCAGAGACTCCCTCTTCCTTTAGGGGAGTATTTCATTTTTAATGTATAAACTGCAAAAGAACAAAAGTAAATTATCCTATGAATGCTGATTCTTTTGAGTTAACTGAAAAGTAATTTTGATTGTGAAAGGCCCATCCCTTAAAATTAATTGAAAATAACAATGGAGAATAAAATTCTATCTTCAATGAAACAAAGCATGACAAAAAACTCCAAAACAAAAATGAAAATATCTGGCAAGGATGCAAGAGCTGATACATATCTTCTCAAAACAGAATATAGGTACAGATTTCTTTAAAATTCAGATTTGAAGTTCTGAAATTGGTTATGCTTCGGATCCCCAAAGCATAAATATTTCAACACATGTCTGACATCATTACTGGAAAGTCAAAGGATTTACTTTAAATCCTAAACAGAAGCCTGGCACTGACTAGGAATAAAGACAAGTTTTTATGAAATTCACTAAAAGAATTACCTATTAAATATAAATTCCACATCCACAGGTTCAAAATTATATGTTTCATTAAATCTTGGATTAATTGTAAAAGTCACCTCTTCTCCGTGAATCTGAAAAAGCAACACTAATGTTCATAAACTGTACTTTATTTTTGATATCCAGCAACACATCCTGAAGACTTCATTCTACAGATCTGAGCTAAAATTTGGCATCTTAGATATCTGCAAAAATAACTGAGAATTAGAAATAATTACACCATTAGATTATACAAATGGGGAATCAGCTGATGTATCCATCCTTTCCAAATGCTTACTAAACTTATATTTACCAGGCCATGTTCTAGTCCTGGGAATATAAAGGTAAGTGAGACACAGACTAAACAAATAATTGTAATACAAAATGGTATGTGCTATATGAAAGCCTAGAAATAAAGGTCATTACAAGTTTTCTCTTCTAGCAGTATAGGTGACTAGATATTCCGGGAAGCCTTCCAGCTACAACTTGATCTAATTTTTGTTCTTTTCCTAGACTAGCAGGAAGGAAAGAAGTTTCTGAGGACACACAGAAAGAGAAGTTCTAAGAAGCATTCCAAGCAAAGAGCAACAACAACAAAACAAGAGCTGGGGTGGCTATACTAGTATCAGACAAATACTTTTAAGTCAAAAATTGGTACAAGAGACAAAAAAGACCATTATATATTGATAAAAGGGTCAATTAATGAAGAAGATATAATAATTATATATGCATCTAGAAACAGGCCCAAAATACATGGAGCAAAAACTGACAGACTTGAAGGACAGAGAGACAGTTATACAATAACAGCTGGAGACTTCAATATCCCAATTTCAATAATGGATAGAAAAACCAGGCAGAAGATCAAAAAGGAAAGAAAGAACTTAAACAATACTATATACCACCTAGATCCAACAGATAGATATATGTAGAACTCTCCACCCAACAATAGCACAATATACATTTTCTTAAGTGGACAAGGTACATTCTTCAAGATACACTATGTGTCAGGCCACAAAACAATGCTCAATAAATTTAAAAGAACTGAAATCATACAAAGTATCTTCCCTGACCACAATGGAACTAGAAATCAATAACAAGGAAAAAAAAACTGGAAAATTCACAAATATGTGGAATTTAAATAGCACACTCTTAAACAACAAATGAGTCGAAGAAATCACAGGGGGAAATTAGAAAATATTCTGAGATGAATTTAAGGATTTCATATCTTTCTTCAGTTCTAAAACAGAACTTATTCCAGATCTTTTAAAATATTAATAGAACCTTTGATGGATTTATCTTCCATGTATCTTAACTATTCTTTAATATTTGCATCTCTTTATTCCTTTCTGTTATCTTCTGAGAGATTCCTCAGCTTTATATCCAGCTCAATAATTTTAACTTCGTCTTCATCCGTTTTGTTATTAAACCCCTTGCCTACTATTTTAATGACAACAATAACATTTTTAATTGCTAAAACTAAAGCCAGGAGGTAGGGCCAAGATGGTGGAGTAGTCAAACGCTTCCTGTGGTCCCTCTTACAACAAAGACCCGAAAGAACAAGTGAATTGATTATGTATGACAATCTAGGAGCCCTGAAAATCAAAGACAAAGTTGAGGAATCAGACAGAGTGGCAGGGGGAGGGAGAGACGGCTCAGAAGCAGTGAGGAGTTGCCAAACCTGACCTGGCCAGCACTGGCACCCTGCAGGCTGGACTGGCTAGCATGCGAGGCATGAGGCAAGCAGTGGCGCTCGGGACGTGTTTTCCAGATTGGGAGAGACCGAGTGGCAGAGAGTCTGCTCAACCCTCTAGAACCAGTGAGTAGGCACTCATTCGGCTAAAGATAAGTACAAGCCTCTAACCTACTACGCAGATCCAAAAAAAAAAAAAACCCCTTTTGGGAAGTACCTCCCTCCCAATTACCTGCTCCCTCCCTGCTCTGCTCCTGGTCCTGTCGAGCTTCAGTGATTGCTACCTACCCTGGGCCAGAAGTAGAACCTGTCTTGCGCCCTGAGCCACTCTCCCGGCTTTGGAGAGGGAACAAATTAACAAACAGGGAAAAATAATCTGTCAGCTCCCCTAAGCCGAGAACTCAGGGCAGGCACAGCCCCTTTGCCTAGGCACAGGCATAAGGGGTCCGTGGACTCTGAATGCCTTTCAGCCCTGCATAGACCTGTGTGGGCCCATTTCAACAGCATAGGCCCTCATTACTACACTACAACAGGGAATACAACTGAAGCCTATTTTCATCTGTATCAGCTATAAGGGGGAGTGGCAGATTCATGACATTTGATACCACCTTGCCCATTAAGCAGGGTCCTCACCTACCCATGTCAGGGGCCTGAGGACTGGTGCTCCACCCACTCCACTGAGCAACCCGCGACAGGGGTCCAAGAATAAGTGGTGCCTCCCAGTCCTTAGAGCCAACAGCATTGGGTACCCATAGTCCAGCTACAAAACCCACCTATCTACACACTCTAGGGAACAAGGACATGCCTTCCACCCAGACACTCAGGGACAGCAGTCAGGCCCGATCTGATCAGCGCATGACCCCCTACTGTAGTCAGATACCTGTGCCTACTCCAATCACCCCTGCCCATCTAGGACTGTAGGTGAGAGCCTACACCACATACCCAGTGACCGATGACCTGGACACTTCAGCTGAATCCACACAAGAAAAGTAAACAGGCTCCTGAGCTCCCATACCTAGTAACAGTTCTAGCTACCTGGAGACAGGATGTGAGAGCTTCAAAGACATCAATAATCAAAACAGCTCACACAACCAACCTATATGGGCATATCAAAACAAAACAAAACAAGAAGCTAGGACACAGTAAGCAAACATAAAATAAACAAATATAATACCTTATTGATGGTGAAGGGATAAGAGTCAATATCAAATCACATAAAGAGGCAGATGATGAAGGCTTCAGCAAGCTCCCAAAACAAACAATCAAGAAATTTTCTGGAGGAAGATAACTTCTTAGAATTATCAGAGGTAGAATCCAAAAGATTAATATAGAGAACTCTTCAGGAGATCAGGCAAAACAAAGAACAAGACAAGGAACACAAAGACAAAGCAATAGAAGAACTTAAGAAGATTAGAGAAGAGCATAATCACAAATTTAACAGGCTGCAAGAATCCAGAGAGACAGCAAACAGAAATCTAGAAGATTAACAATAAAATTTCAGAATTAGACAACTCAATAGAAAGTCACAGGAGCAGAACTGAGGCAACAGAAGTCAGAATTAGTGAGATTGAAGATAAAGCACTTGGCACCAACTTATTTGAGGAAAAATAAGATAAAAGAATTGAAAAAAAATGAAGAAACCCTAAGAATTATGTGGGACTCCATCAAGAGGAAGAACCTACGAGTGATTGGAGTACCAGAACAGGGAGGGATAACAGAAAATACAGACAGAATTGTTGAAGATTTGTTGGCAGAAAACTTCCCTGATATCGTGAAAGATGAGAAGATATCTAAGAAGCTCATCGAACCCCACACAAGGTAGACCCTAAAAGAAAGTCACCAAGACATATTATAATCAAACTTGCCAAAACCAAAAATAAAGAGAGAATTTTAAGAGCAGCTAGGGATAAACAAAAAATCATCTACAAAGGAGAGTCAATAAGACTAAGCTCAGACTACTCAGCAGAAACCATGCAGGCAAGAAGGCAATGGGATGACATA